CGGAAGATAGTACTCTAATTGTGGATCAGTTAGAGCGTGGACAAGAACAGAACCGATTTCTGTTTATTTATCTTTGCAATAGGTGAGCTAGCCTTCTTGCTTCTTTATGCTTTATATACCATTTGGTAGCTCGTAAAATTCTCTATCGAATGGTATATAATAGTTGGAGTTTTGTTTGAGTATAATAGGAAAGTTTTTTTTACGAAAGCGGGGATAGGTCAATTTTCGCATAGAAAGCCATAGGGAAAAATGAGTATTTTTGCAATAAATCAGGAATGGTTCGGCCAATTCTTCTCATCTGCGAACTCGACCGAGACATTGTTAAAACTGAACTGTGTAGAAAATTTCATCGCAATCGAACTCTCCTTTCAAAAGTTATCGTGTAAAAAACGGCGGGACGGACACACTGACCGATTCTAGAGTGTACTCACTTTTTGAGTACACAAAAAAGAACATTACGTAGTTAAAAATTCTATTTTAAGTCATTGAAGAAGATTATTCAAAATGAGACTTTCCATAAAACGTTCAAAAAAAAAAGAAATTCCGATTAGAAATTTAAGAATGAAAATGTTTCTATTGTAAATTAATAAGATTAATCATATTTGTATAACATTAACATCGTAACTCTAAAAAAAAACATTTAAAAAATATGATCTGTACTCTTGTTATGTTAACGGATAGAAATATTCCAGAATCACGACAATTAAAATACATTTATATATTATAGAGAACTATTCACATGAAGGTTTTCTTTTTCTAATCAACTGATTTTTAAAATAGTAAACTATCCAAAATGTTTGTTTAGATGTCTTGCAACATAAAAACTACAATAGTTTGAATTTTTATTTCAATTGACATTAATAGAATGCACACAATCACATTTAAAATATAATTCATTATGAATAGAGATAAAGAATTGCAATGACATATGTTATAGTAATAAAGATATTTTTCTATCAAGCAAAAATTCTAAGTGTTTTCATTTTTCAAATTCAGTGATTTTACTGGCTATCTAAAAAGTGTTCAATGTAAGAAAGATGTCTTGTTATTTCAAATAGCATGAAAGACGAATTTATATATCAAATAAAAGCATGTCGAAAATCGGGTTTATCAGTAAGAAATTGTAACAGTTAGAACCGTTTTTCAAAATTAAATCTCCAAAGTCTCTAAAAACTTCTGGAATACGATTATAGTTACTTCTCAATAATGATTTATTAAGAAAAAAAACGAATCTTTTAAAACAGAAATTGGTAAAACTATTCTTGTGATAGTTATACAACATGATTGCAATTCGTATGATAAGGTTGCTCTTTTTTTTTGTTTTATTGTATTTTTATTTTCTTCTTCTATAGGATATCATCCTTTATGTTCTCTTTAGAAACTCTACAACAGAATATTTGAAATATTTACAAATAGACAACAAATAATTTAGGCAATCTAATATATCGCTTTTCATGAGACTTGAGATGCTGATGCAACATCTAATAATTGACCGTGGATTGCAGAAAAAGCCTATTGTGCTAATCGACTTGTCATATATTTGGGGCTATCGACGTTAACTTAGGGGGTATTCCATTTTCAAGCTTCAAATTATTATATTTGATGTGCCTTGGAATATTTGGTTTCTGTCATCAAAAAGAGTCTTAATCTATCTTAACGTTTTATTAAATCATTCGAAAGATCAGTAATTATCGTAGTTGTGTATTTTATTTTTCTTGCGAGCAAAACTCATATATATTCAATCGACTTTACTAATAAACATGATAGCTAAGGAAGAAACGGTCAGAATATAGAGTTTCACCTCACCAATTAACTCATGTGAAAGGAGAAGAATTATATTTTTTGCTCAGATATTGATCGATGTAATCTTACGCAAATTCCTCATGAAAGAAATTTTCTATGATGATAGAGCGTAAAATTCAAAAAGCGTTTCTCAATTTGGTACTGAACCTACATAATGGCGTAATCAAGCTTAGAGCTGGACGACTAAGCTTCCCATTGATTGAAGCCACACTAGATAAGTTCCATAAAAGGCTCCATCATAATAATAGAATCCGGTCATCTGAGACGCTCCTTTCACTGTCAAAGCCCTGATTACATTACTAACAGAAGTGTTCTCATAACTTTTGCTACTCAATACTGATATATTCTAGTTTGAACGTGCTCTAGTTTTTTATGATAATTGTTGTTGATGCTGTTGAAAATCATAGTGTTATCCTTCTACTTAGAAAAACATTTTTACGCATTCTGTAATTTGGTTCGTCGAGATCACATCGGTTCCATACACAAATTAATTTATTGTGTATACAAACTAAAATACTATATACAGTAAAGAGTTGTCAGATATTAGGGCACCCCCCCCCCCCTCAAAAAAAGTCACTTTTCATCTGAATGGCCAAAATTAAGATAAATGCATAGGAAGATGGTCAATGATCTGATCTTTTATAAACGACAAAAATTTTTACTTGACACCTCATTTTTTTCAAACATTTTTGAAGATTTCTGTTATCCTCTATTCGAAAAATAAACTGTTTTCAGAAAATCTTTTTCGTTTCTTCTCCGTTTATGGTTTCTTCAGCGCTCAAATCAGATTTCTCTGTCGATACTTATTCAATGTATTTATTTTTTTCGTTTGAAAGAACGCGTCAAGACGCAGTGCAGTGCAGAGCTCTGTTTTTAATTAAGCTTTTGTTAAATTATGTATACAGACGCTTACATAACTCGATATCCATTTTTAAGGGTTTTTGAGTCATTCAGCTTTCGATCCATTTTTTTTCCTAAAAAAGTAAGTATTTAAAAGATAGAATTCTGTACTGCACTGCATGATGGCATGTTCTTTCAAGTAAAAAAAATTTAAATACATCGTATGGATCTGGACTGAGAAATTTGGTTTGCCAAATGAGCTATTTTTGATCCTTGGTTGGTCAGTATCTTCCTCAAACATCATGTTACAGAGCTGAAAATTTTGCCATAGCTTTTTTACAATAGCTCCAATATATCCTGAAAACTTCATGGCATTTGCACGTACCTGGACGGAGATCGATTTTGGAGGGGGGGGGGGAGCCTTAGGTAAAGTATTCAATAAAGTGTTATGGAACGTAGAAACCTTCTGTACTTATATGTTAATGTGTATTTATATAGATAGAAAAATGCATATTCATCACGTATATTAGCAATTTAATCGATACGAATTTGAAATAGTGATGCGTCTAGCCTGGACACAATGATGAAGTTAAATAACTTCGTAATAGTTATAATGACATTCAATATTTTTCATAATAAATGGACATATGAAAGAGATCAGTAAAATGAAACGAAAAATTTGTGTAACATTGATCTAGGACAGAATTATTCAAAAAGACTTATAAAAAAACTAATGATATTGTCTTTATATTTCTTCATTTGTTGAATATTTTTTGACACATTTCCTCATAACACAAATTTCTAAGTCATCTCGCATAGATGAATCGAACTTTGATAGTTGAATTGGAAATGGTAAACGACGACCAGTATCAATATAACCACGGCGAGTATAATAGGCTATTAATTCCGGTCTTTGAACAATTGAGTTTATTTCAATATATTCAACATTCCAGTTGTTTATAGCATAATTTTCAGCAATGGATAAAATGAATTTTCCATAACCTCTTGCTTGCAAATCTGGACGCACAGTAAGCATACCTATTAGTGCAGTTTTCGTCTCTTCTTTGTGTAGTAAGTTAACACATCCTTTTAATATTTGATCGACATCACCAAAAAATACCAAAAAACTGTATTTATTATTATTAATCATATCAAATAATGCATTGGCATTTGTTCTTGGCACAGGAATTAATTTATCTTCATTTGTCCAACCTTGATGTGAGAATTCACCACGATAAGCATTATTTATTAAATTTTCTAATGAATCACAATCATCTATTGTAGCAAGACGATATATAAGAGAATTCGATATTTCTTTACTATGATCAGAATCGACTGACACTTTGTTGGTGTTTTTGTTTAAACTCATTTTGACGAATAAATAGAATGTGACACTTTTGATTTTCAATGAAATGTTAATTTGCGCATTGAATGAAAATATCTTGAACAGAAATTCTTTTTGATAATAAATTAGATCACTTTTTAAAGATAACATTTTAAATTATTAGTTAGAACTTAAATATTATTTCGAAATTCATTTTTCATCAATCTTACCTGTTTGTAACTGATGGAACATATCTTACAGGGTTTTTTTTCTTATCAGACTTTTTAAAACATAAATGATAACATGAGAAAAATGAATCGTCACTATATCAAATAAAGCACACAACGACATATATCAACTTTGCTTATATAACATAATTCTATTTCAGACGAAGACAATTACATTTTTGATCATTTATTATCACATAAAATCGTTCATTATAGAAGAATATATCTTAGAATAATATTGTTATATCAATTATAATAGCATTTTACTATTACTCTTTATTTTATTTTATTTAAAAATTGTTTAAAAACATATGCTTCCGTTATGCATTGGTATATATTAGATTAAGCCTTAAAAAACTCAATATTTTTACTTTAGAGTGTCAACATTTAACGTTGAATAATTTTGTTAATATAGTGGTTGTCAATTAAGATGAATCTTAAAGACGATGTCTTTCTATTTTTCATATATATTTGACAAAACTATGATTGGATATAGAATAAGACTTGTTCGGGTCTCAATGAAGATGATCGTCATAACTAAAAACTCGAATTATTCGATATATTTTATTTTAACGACATATTTTAATAAGATTTGATAAGTTATAAATAGAATGACAAAATTTCTTAGTAAATAAATTGAAACAAGTTCAATGAACAGAAATATGATTAACTTTTTCTTCTTTTTTCGAATAACCTAGATCGAAATCAATCATTAAATTTAACTTCTATATTCAGTAATTTAAAAAATTCCTTGTTTTATTAAATTATAATGTAATACATATTTCAATATGATTGATTAAATGAATTTCTTGTCGGAATAGAATATATACATGCAATATCAAACTATATTATTATCATTAATCAAACCTTTTAGGTTTCGATTTTTTTTCCATTTATATTCTACATACAACTGTAAAGCATTTCAGTTTATATACAATCATATATTCTACCTAGACATTGACTTAAAAAGATGTATTAATATTATTTTATTTTATTTATAATGATTGTTTATTGCAGTAATGGAATTCTATTTTTTACTTAATTATCTTCTAGACATCAGCAAACATTTATTACTAGTAAATGTCTTTAAATACGTGTGATATGGTGTATTAAAAACTTATCTTGTCCTTTCCAAAACGAGCATCCCCTCATGTACAAAGAAGAAAACGATCGTGAAATAAGAAAGAATCTCAATTGGTCTGCAGAACAAATCTGACAAGAAAGTTCGATAATCTCTGCAAATATATGAATGTCAAAAAACTTCTGATCCTTTTTTCCAATACAAAAGCTGTTAGCGTAATCCCTACAAGAATAAAATGAGGAAGACGAAGTAGCTGCCCTCCCTAATCACACGAATATCGTTTTATTCAATGTAGCTTGGAACACATTTCATCATTCATCTTCAGTAGTGGCTCGACCAGCAGGTGTAACATCCTAACAAAGCTCGAATTTTATTTTGACATTCTATTAGTAATATGATACTCTTTCTTTGCAAGAACTCACAATACTTTTCCCTGCTCTAATGCTGACTGCTTCGAACCACAGCTGCCTTTCTTTTACTTACAAGGGAACATTCCTAAGTGATACCCACCGTTTTAGCTCATATTGTGCCCACAAGTAGATCTCGGTAAGACTAGGGAAAGTCTAAAAGGGTTCGTGCCATTGCACCTTTGGAGCCGAGTTATGCCGAATTTACTGAATTTTCGACCCTTTTT